TCATGACGCAGTTGTACTGGATCCGTTCCCACTTCATACCGCGTTCCATGCTCTTCGTCCCCACTGTGGACGATGCAGCCGGAGGTCCGTCACTTCACGAGTTGGGAAGGAAGAGATTCACACTTCTGATTGCTCAGGAGGGTCTCTCGAAGCGACCTGTGCTTCAGTGCGATTACTCTTTCATCAGTGATCCTCGGACTCCGTCGTCGGAACAGCTTGTACTTCTCAATGTGCACGAGGTTCTGACCGGACTTGCCATGAGTTGCGTGGTTCCTTCTAAAGGCTTTGCCAGATATGCTGCAGCGGAACTTCGCCGCTTCATCTTGGAAACTGGACGCGCTTTCGGGACACTTCAATGTGACCCTGAGCCGTCCTTGATAGCCTTTGCTGAGCATGTTTTGTCTGAGGTTGGAGGCCTCTCACTTCGAAAGAGCCCCACGGCTTGGAAGCAAGCGCAAGGAGCTGTTGGAAACGCCCAGCCACTCCTGTACGCGCAGATCCGTACACTTCGTCTCGATGTCGAGAAACGGTGCAGCTGCAAGCTTGAACTTCAAAGCCCTTTGTTTCCTTGGTTGGTCAAGCGTGCGCAGTTCTTGTTGAACCGCTTTGCACTTCGCTCTGACGGAATGACTCCGTCCGTATGAGCGACGATGGACAAAGCGGTACACTTCTCCGCTTTGCGTGTTCTGTGAGGTTGTTCTTGTGCGACTTCCTAGTCACGCGTCCAAGGCGAACCCAGCTTGGGTTCCGGCTTTGTGGCTTGGAAGAGATACTTCGTCGAACCAGCGCATCGTTGGAACTTCTGACGGCGTCTTCAAGATCCGCAGCTTGCGGAGAGTTGCCGTTGAGGAGCAGGTGAGCCCTGATATGTTCAAGGGCTGCAAAGGCACCCCGTGGGACCCACGCGGACGTGAAGCCGAAGAGACTGGTGACTTCACCCAGCTGGGTCTCCCACTGCCTGCTTTTAAAGCGACTTCCACTAGCGCTACGCAGGTGTCTCTTCAGGGTGCGAGTGCCGGCGAGGCTGCGACTTCTGACGTTGCGATGCCCGCCACGGCTCCGAAACGGACTTCGGAACAAGCCCAACTTAGCGACAAAGCTGAGCCTGCAAAACTTGTTCCAGCGTGTCGGACCTATATACTTCTGGTGACCGCAAGCGTATGGTCTCGCAGAGTGCAGAGGTCAGCGACACCAAACTTCACAAGATGTCCGCAGTTGTCTTTGATGACTTCCGCTCCGGCATTGTCACTTTGCCTTTCACTGTGGCGAGTGTGACCAGCAAGCAAGGACTTCAAGTCCCTGTTGATGTAAATAAAGAGCGCGACGAGGAACTCCAGTCACTTCGTGCTTCAGAGCCAGTTCTGTGGTACGACGCTGAGTTCGATCGTGAGCAAGAGATTGAAGGCATGAAAAAGGAAATGCAGTCGTTAACCGACTTCCAGGTTTACGAGGAAGTTAAGTTGGAGAACTTGACGGAGCCATTGCTACCAAATGGGTCAAACGACTGAAAGGAGATGGCGTGAAGTGCCGCGTGTGCGTCCGCGGGTTCGATCAAGACTTCGATCCTGATGAGATTTTCGCGTCAACACCGTCACTGACAACGCTCAAGGTACTTCTTACCCTGTGTACTGCTTTCAACTGGCATGTGATTGCCGGAGACGTGTCATGGCCTTTTTGCACGCTGCACTTCTGGGTCAAACTGTGTAGGTTATTCCGCCGCCAGAATTCTACCCTCAAGGGGGCGTACTTTGGAAACCTCGGCGCGCTATGTACGGGTTGAAGCAATCTCCCCATGCTTGGCAGGAACACGTCAGCGTTGCGTCGGCCCTCGGTTTTAGCCGCCTGAAAGCCGACAGCAACCTCTACTTCCACGAAGAGAGGAAATGCTACATGTTGTGCTACGTTGACGATGCAACAAACAGCGCACGGAGTTTTTGTTTGCCTCACTTCAGGAGAAGCTTCTGTTGCGCCGCGAAGGTACACTTGAGCTAGGTAAGCAAATCAACTTCCTTGGTCGCACCATCTCTCGTAAGTCAGACTGTGTTGAGATTTCCATGTCAAATTCTTACATTGATGGCACGCTTGAACTCCTATATATGTATGCAAGCCGGCTGCGACGCCTGGCACGCACTTACATCGCAACCTGATTAAATCTGAAGACCACCGAATCTTTCGAAGAGTTGTCGGTCAACTTCTCTGGTTGAGTGCTATTCGTCCGGACATTCAACTCGCTGTAAAGGAACTTTCTCGCGGGTTGACTTCGCCTACTGAAGACCGCAAGACGAATTCGGTACCTTGCAGGAACGAAGGACTTCGTGATGACGTTCCGACCCAAGGTCTTTCCACATGTGAAGCAGACTTCGCTGGATGTAGACACGTTCGTTGACTCGGACTGGGCAGGTTGTAATGCGACCAGGCGCAGTACTTCAGGTATGGCGCCGTACTTTTTAGGTACGTTGATCACTTCTCAAAGCCGCGCGCAGCAAACAATCGCCCTTTCGTCGGAAGAAGCCGAGCTTTACGCAATCGGCCTTGGAACTTCGGAAAGCTTGTTCATCAGGTCACTTCTTCTTGAGACGAACCTTGCTAAACGAGATTAAACGAGTAAACATCCGACTTCACACCGACTCCACTGCAGGAAGTCGATGGCCACAAGATTTGGAACGTTCTTCAAAGAAAACCAAACATGTTCAACTTCGTTTCTTATTTGTACAGGAACTTGTGGCATCGGGCATAATTCAGGTGAAGAAGGTCTTGGGAACTTCTAACCCAAGTGATGTTCTAATTAAGTATGTCGCGAAAGAGACACTTCTTCGCCATCTTGGAACCCTAGGCCCTAGGCGTAGGTGTGACTTCTAGCAGAGTACTCTAGGACTGTCTTTGTACAGTTCGGAGTTGAGGACCTAACTTCGTTTAGAGTTTTAAACTCCTGACCTGACAGCAAGAGACTTCTTTTGGTTTTGTGTTTTTGTTTCCCGATTGATCCCGAGGAGATACCTCACTTCGCCACCGCCGCTGTTTGAACTTCGGTTGTCTCACTTCGATCGTACGATCACTGCCATGGTTTGTTTTACTTCACTGCTTAGCGCTGGACTTCAAAGCTGTATTTTCTTTGGAACTTCACACCGGAAGCCTTACGGGCAAATCTGGAGAACTTCCCCTTCGGCGCGATATTTTGAGCTTCGAACTTCAATCATGAAAGGAAAGGGTCAAAACATTTCAAGTTTGACGTGCAACTTCATGATGTACTATGCAATGGCAGTCCGTCCAGAGGACTTCATTGACACGCTGTGGGACAGGCGCGAGAGCATTATCTGTCCCAACGGCACTTCAGGGAGCACGTTTCAGCAGATGGCGCTTCTCTTCCAGTTGCAGACTTGCAGACTTTATTTCCGGGACTTCAGCATCAACTTCACAGTGGCCACTCATTCCCTTATACTGAGCATGAGATTTTTTCCAACCTTCAAGCCCCTCACTTCATTCAACAGCCTGCTGACTTCACCAAGTGCACCTCCACCAAGTGCACACTTTCTGAACGATGAATGGGGGCTTACGCCCAGAATTGTACTTCTGTCTGCCAGCTGCCTATTTGGAAACTTCGCAGACACGTATCGGTCAGATGGTGGTGCAGCAACACCACTGGCCGAACGCACTTCTGAGCGACTATGACATGTCGTGGAGCGACAGGACGATGAACTTCGCTTTCGCTCCACGATCGGCACTTCTGTTTCATTTGTGGGGCTGTTGGATGTGTCTTGATCAGGGAATTCCACTTCCCCATGCTGTGATGAATGCACCCCTGATACTTCTTAGCTTCAGGTTGAGCGCGCCGCGTGTTCTGCAAGGGCGTCAATCTGAAACAAGGAGCTTCTGGAACAGACAGTTTTATGACTATATACTTCCTTAGCGTGTGGTCAATGTTGAATTTGAACATGACAGAACTTCAGAGTATCCACTGCTATGTCGCGGATTTCAGTTTCGCCGCAGCTGCGACAAGATTTTTTGCGGGACTTCCTCATCGCCAGAGGTCTCGAGATGGGAACTTCTGTCTCTGCACGGGCATTCCACTCGCTATTAATATGGAATGGAGGAATGGCCTGTTTTCATTGATATCCGGATCACTTCAGCCGTCTCTGCGCGAAACTTCCATGTGATGAACCGAGCCAGAATGCGATTTCATCATGAAGGCGCGTGAGAAGAGGGCTCAGAGTTCAGAGGACTTCAGAGCTTAGATTGAAAGTCGAAACTTGGCACCTCTTGCGCTTCACGAAGCTTTGGCGCAAGACTTCATGATTCAAAGTAGACTTCATGTTCAGTTTGAACTTGAATACTTCAATTTAAATATTGATGGTACAGACTTCATGGCAAACTGATCGAACTTCATTTGCGCAACGAGCTTGATGTGTCAACTTCCTTGAACCTTTTGATTTGTAAATTCGGGAGTTTGAGACTTGTGAAGCATCAAGAATGGACTTCACTTGAACTTCACGTGGCATGATTTGTAAAAGGACTTCAGTGATGTACGGACTTCTTCGTGTACACTTCGAGTCCGAGGGGGCGTGTCAAGTGTATGCCCACTTCACTAGTCCTAGATGCCATGGTGAAGAGCTTTCACTTCACTTTGGCTCAAGGGCAAAAGCTGCCACTTCGTGTATCGGGAATAGTGAACCTTTGACTCGACTTCAGTTTGCTGTCAGGGAAGGAGAGTAGGGGCTTCAAGTTTGAGTGCTTGCGCTCATAGTTACACACACTTGTTTGGTTGAAGCGCCTACCTTTACTAACTGCCAGAAAGGGTGCCTCCCTTCCAAGCTGAAGTCTAAAGTTGTTGGAAGCGATGGCCCCCCAATCTATGTGACTGCAAAAAATTGAGCAAGGAGTTTTGACAGCCGCGCATAATCACTAATACCTTCACAATAAGGAATTTGCTTGACAAAAATAGTTGAACAAGGTACGGGCTAGTTTTGGTGTTTCGTCGCTGACGCAGCCGGCTTCTTTCCCAGGCTGCCCGAACAGGAAATGCAAGTCGTGGCAGCTCTAGCTGAGCATGTTCGGGTCAGGCTCCCAGGATATTCAGTGAAGACAAAACACATTGGACACGGAGGATCCTTTAGACTGAACGGAGAAGAGTGATCCTCAGTCCTTGACAACACCCGAGTGATATGTGATGTGTTTCTGTCGATTCTCAACAGTGTAACAGTGCTGAGCCAAGAAGGCATTTTCCTGAGCAAGGAGAGGCACACAGCTTGTCGCCGTGCTTCCGCATTGACTGCTGCAGGCCTTGCGCAATGAAATGAACTTCACGAAGATCGAATGACAGAAAAGTGTGGCAAATGTCGTCAGTTTTGCTTTGACAAAGGGCACACCCTCAATGTGTTTGTCACACATAGCAGCGCCCAGCTCAGCTCGCGCGGTAGCTGGTTCTTCACAAGATTGGACAGTTGTTGATTGGCATTGTGGCTCGAAGCTTGCGGAGATAGGAGGACTGTCAGACGCACCGAATAAGGCTAGCCCAACCGCACCCTTTGTAGAATCTTGGAGTTGCTGTTGCTTGTGTTACATGGCAGTTGTCGGATGACCAGGCGGGATATTTTCCTGACAAAGCGCTCCAAGATGTTCACGTCAGCGGTGTCCACTTCAGTTGTGGTCTCAACAACTTGCCGATTGTGGTGCTAATTTATTGGACAGCTGTTGTTCCAAGATGTCACGCGTCTCCAACTTGTTTGGCCGAAATGAGATGTACCAGGAGCACTTCCCCTTTTCTACACATTGGAGCTTTCTGTCCAAGCATGTTCACGCTGCCTTGAGAAGACCATCCAAACAGCGGAAGGAGCAAACCGACTTCTTCAATGATGACAATCAGGCACAGCTGAAATGAGTCAGCTTATCTTTACTCCTCGTTGTGCCTGTGCTGTGACGCGAATGCCGGCAGATTTGGACAGCCCAAGAAAGCGAACGAAGGACGTCCGTGCCGCGCTCAACATGCCAGTTTTTTCGCCTTAGCCAATGTGGAGTCGCTTTTCGTGGCCAGGGTGACAAATTGGGACCATGGAGCCGGGCAGAGGTTGGGACCATCCTTGCCGATGTTTGCAATACCAAAGAATATGAACCCATATGAATGTGTGGCTTTCTTTGGTTCTAGCAGTGATAGGAGTTACTTAAGTGGGAAACCGCATTGGCAAAACCAGTAGTGGGAGATACGAAAGCTCAAGCTGAGTTCACAACTTAAACTATATTCTATTGAAGCCTCCTCCCACTTCACCGTCCAGCTATTCTTGCCTAACTCGTTTACAGAACTATTTGACTATTTGGTGATTTAATGCTCATCAAGGAAATACCAAATACCATCCAATATTAGATCTGGCGTGCGATTTCCAAAGGGTGTATTGGCAGGCCAGATATCCATTGTATTTCTTTGGTGGTATGACATATGCTTTTTCTGTGAAGAGTTTTCAATGTAGATCATCAGTGCCTTGTAGTATACTTTTCACCCGCAGCCCGCTTTCGGATGACAGGAAAAAGTTTGCAGAGGATAAGGGTAGCTCCAGAGGAAAGCCCCTACGTCACAGGGTCCGGGGTGCGCTTGAGCCATAGATTTGGGGCCTTTGGAACCCAAACTGCTAAGCTGTTGAAACTGCTGCGAGCCGCACCTTGTACACCGTACATTGTGTGAGTTGGACAATATTGCTTTGGGACAATGGGTGAGACAAGAGAAATCCTGGAACAAGTTGCCAGATGCACACAAGCAGCAGCAACAGCAGTAGAGGCAGTGAAGAAAGCTGTTGAAGATAAGAAGACGAACGCAACAGATTGGTCAAAGCTGATCACAAAGCTTGGCTTATTTGAACATAAGTCACAGGAAGAAGAGGTCCATGGGTATTTGAGAAATATCTCAGCTCAGTGGATGAGGCTTACATGAAGGACTTGAAAGAGGTTCATGACAAGCCAAATGACAACTTTGACATGGATTTGGCAACAGGAGAAGAGAAGATCAGGCGCATCAAGTCGTATGGATTGCTAGCTTCGTTGATGAGAGCAGGGCACTACAATTGGTTAAAGCTGTGGGGGACTCCAATGGATTTGATGCCTCAAGGGGTTTAAGCAGAGCCTTGAAGCCTACATCAAAGGCGAGAGGATTAGCACTTTTCGGAGCAGCCAATACATGGCCAGTGTGTTCAATGAATAGTGCTCTACAACCTCAACTTCTCAAGCTGGAAGAGGTATTTGAGGAGACGGTCAAGTCATGGACTGCAGTTCAGGAAGAGCTGCCATCAGCTGTTCTTTTGAGATGTGTGGGTGGACAGCCGTGGACAGCTCAAATCCTACTTCCTTTTGACGATTGGTGACAACGTTCCCTACTCAACTTTGTGGGAACAAGTGTTGCGTGGGACCCTTCTCAGCAGAAGTCGGCTACTTGTTCCATGGTCACAAGTAGCAGTACAGACTACCAAGGACCCATGCCTATGGACGTTGATCGAGTTCCGGATGCAAAGGAAAGGGCAAGAAAGGTAAGAATGATTACCAGAAGGGCAAAGGTAAAGATGCCAAAGGAAAAGGAAAGAAACGAAAAGGAGAACGGCAGAAAGGACAGGAAGGTGATCAGACGGGCAAAGGTAAGTGCAAAGACCAGAAAAGGAAAACACCTGCGGGATGCCCGATACAGTTGGTCAACCACAAGCCAATGTATCTCAACAGAGTAGTTCAGCAGAGACCAAACCAGTTGTCAGAAGGGTCGAGAAGAACGAGCCAATCATTTTCGGCCTACGATAGAGGCATGAAGATTCAGAATTTCATGGAATTCGATTGGTTCACTTCTTCATTGGAGATGATGACGATGATGAGCCATGGAAAGAAAGAGAAAGCCTGCTCGAAGAGACCTTTCAGGAGGTTGAGAATGAGAAGCCCAAGGTGAGAAGACTTGGAGAAGAGAGAGATGATGTGGCCATCATTATGGACTGTGGAGCTGATGTAGCTTTATTTGCTTTGCGTATGGCAGATCACGGGGAAGGAGAGCTAGAGTTGAATTCAGCGGCCAAATTGTAAGATGCCCAGTGGGGTCGCATCCCCACCCAGGGTGCGAAAAGTGTTGTGGCCTTCTTGCGCGACATTGATGGACACGAAGTGCTTCTCAAAGCGAATGTGATCTTCAGTTCAAAAAGGAATCGGCCCATACTTTGTTATGGAAGACTGATGGAGCGCGGTTGGGGAATCAATGGTCGAGAGCAGACATTGGAGAATGGTGACTTGAAGGCGCCGCTTCATTTGCAAAATCGCTCTTTGACAGTCCAAGGCCACGTTATAGAGTCATTCGAGATGAAGATGAAGGAGCTTGGAGGCGCAAGTTCCTGAAGCTTTGGAGAAAGCTGCAGGTTGGAAGTTCAATGAACATGGCTTGCTCGTTGGAAGCTTGTTGACTTCAAGATTTGTCGATCCCACTTTCATTCCAGAGGTGGAAGACTCATCAGAACTGATGAGAACCACTTCGGTGAAGAGAGGAGGTCGATGGCTCATGCCTGAATATTGTGATGAAGAAGGAGGAGCCTGATGAGCTGTTCTTTGATGACGACGCAGTCATTCCTTCAATCACAATCCTCAGCTACGAGCCATAGGGGTAACCTCTCAAGACCAGAAAGACTCAGAGTGCGAGTTTCAATTGAGCCCAATGGATGTAGACAAAGCCGCGGTTAATGGAGTAGAGTTGACGAGAGTTGACCAAGGGTTCTACTTTGGCAACATTGAGGCCAGCGTGATCATTTCTCGGCATCTCAGGTAGCAGCTCTAAGTTGAAGGTCTATACCAAGATCCTCAATCGCAACAAGAAGAACTTATGAAGGCCAAAAGTCTGGCACGTGAAGCAAAAGCTCAAGATACGAGAGAAGCATTAGGACAAAGTGTTGCCAAGATGCCAGGTGAAGCAACTCAAGCAAGGCGCAGATTTACGCAGACGCACCTACCATATGCCAATTGGTGTAAGGAGTGCGTCGAGCGCCGAGCGCGCCCAGATCGTCGTGAGAGGACAGGTGGAACCAAGAGAGGAAGCGTCCCTGAGGTGAGCTTTGACTTCTGCTACACCAGAGCAACAGTTTCAGAAACCAAGTCAGCAAGAGCAGTATGTTGGCGAGTTGCAATTGACAGCCAGACTGGATTCATTCATGTTGCGCCGCTAGGAAGCAAGAATAAAATTCGTCTCATTGTGCAAAAGAGTATGAACTTCAGTCAGACGTTGGGGTATCCAGCAATCACCTACCGGAGCAACAATGAGGCTACAACGTCACAGTCTACGACAAGGTTGAATCATTCGAAGCTGGGAGATCAGTCATTTCTGTCAGAAAACACTGCGGACAGAGTAAGGAAGCTCGCAGGAAGTTTCATTGAAGGTTTGCTATCAAAGCTTGGTATCAAGGTAGGATCAAATCATGCACTTTGGACTTGTGCAGCAAGACATGCCATTTTGGTGTTGACTCGGTTTCGGCCAGCCAGGCTTAAGCATGCCGCTCCGTATGAGCTCGTCTATGGCAAGAGTCACAATGGACTCCTGAAGCTTCAATAAAGCAGAAGCACGATGACTTATGCTTATTCCTGCGGAAAGTGGAAAGCCAGGGTACCTATGTCTTGACAGACGCACCAGAAGAACAACCAGGATTGGTCCAAGTACCTGGCGAATTACAAAAGCTTCAATGCCTTTTCATGGGAGTACCAGGCGAACTCTGGAGGCAGAATCATTGCCACCAAGAGCGGTGCAGACAGACATTCTTCTTCGAGGGCGTGTGATGTTGAAATTCGATGATGAAGATGCAGAAGCTGTTACGGCAAAAGCTCTTGAAGGAGGACGTGATTCAGAGAAAGAACAAGCATTACGCCCGTGAAAGTTAACGTTTTCGCCAAAAATTATATTTTCCCCCACATCTTAGTGTGGGGTTCTTCTTTTCTATGTCTCATCCCGCTTCGCTTCTCCCGCCCCTCCGCCCCTCCTTCCACACACGCTCACACAGAGATCACACACACAGAGACCACACACACCGAGACCACAACACAGAGATCACACGCACAGAGATCACACACACCGAGAATCACACACACACCGAGACAACACATACCGAGACAACGCGCACAGAGATCACACAGAGATCACACACAGAGATCACACACACAGAGATCACACACACCGAGGATCACACACCACTCATCACACACCACTCATCACACACCACTCATCAC